TGCTCGCAGGGCGGCGGGACTGGGGAGGGAGCGTCTGTCTTCCCTCAAGGAAAACAGGTCTCCGAGGGAGAGCGGGAAGTCACATTTATAAATTAATTTGCCCCAAAGGTCCGCCAGCTAAGAAAGAGTGGGAAACGGCGGAGCGGCATTCCCGTGCGTTCAGTTTCATGCTAATCCATTATGCAAATGGCTAAATCCTGGCAACGGAGCCCACAAAAGAGCAGCCCTGTCAGGTCAACAATGCCGCCGCGACGGAGGCTCGGGAGTTTCAGTAACCAAGCAGGTTCCCGCCCCCTCGGGGATGGCGGGATGATGGATGGGACAGACATTCATCTTACCTGGAAGATGGCAGGGCGCTCAGAGTGCCAGGGGAGGTGGCCGTGGCTGCAGCCTTTCACCGAGTCCCCGCCGCCGCCACCGCGCCCCAGCCCGCTGCCATGGATCTTTGTTCGTGCCGCAGCCGCTCCGGCTGCAGGGGGGAGCCTTCCCCTCCGGGAAACACGGAACGGGCAGAGGGAGAGGGAAGGTGGAAGGGATATGCACGTAAGAATGCTGGAGAAGTTTGGTGGAGCATCTTCCTTTAAACTCGGGCAAACGCTGCAACCCTAGGATGCCAAATAGGAAACGGGGAAGCGGGAAGAGTAGCGCTGGTGTGTAACAGCTTGGCAGCTCTCCACAGGCAAACCGCGTTGCAACAGTAGGTTATTTTTCTCTCCTCAGTCACTTTAAACTCTGTGGAACACGAATGAGATCTCTAGACCACCCCAGAGTTGCAGAATCCCATTGGTCACACCAGCAAAAAAAGCGAAAATGTTCGCTATCCCTTTTCTTTCCATTAGCAAACAACTCTGGTATGATTTGGAAGGCAAATGGGATGGAATGGACACAGCAGGTGAGAGCCTTCTACCATCACAGATTCTGAACCCAGGTTCAGGATCTTGTAAACATGAAACCTTATTGATGAACCAAAAGCAAGTTTTTCCACTTCCTCAGTAAAGAAAATATTGCAGGGTAAGGGGTTACCTCACTACTTGTTAACAAAAAACAGTGGCTGGTTCCCTTCTGTTTCCTCCTGCTTGGAGCAGAGAGCAAAGACTTTCTGGGAAGCAAAGACTATCCTCACCTCGCTTCATCTGCAAAGAGGCCCCACATAACCTCTTGCTCACTTGCTGATTACAGGCCAGAGCCCCAGCACTACCAACAGAGTGATCAGGCCTTTGGGATTTTCTCTGGAGTCTGAGCCAAATTTTTATGCAACAGAGGCTTACCCCTCTCAAGCCCCCTACTTCAAATCACCTCACTTACAAAAGAGAAAATACCTTTTTGATGTAGCTTATGATGCTGGTACAGGAACCCTGTGGATTAGCCACCAGCCACACATGATTATATAATTGAGTGTATTTTCAAATTCAGATTTTAAAAAACATATTTGGAAAGTCGGAAGCTTTTTCTCTTCGTAAATAAAAATGGGGGAGAGAGAAGGAGCAACTTCTCATTTTTTGCTAGTGCATTTTTTTAATGGATGAGGGGAAAAAAAATTAAAACACCTCATCCTCATAAAGGGTCTCACCCATTTGATGATGGTCAAAGCAGCTGGTCCAGAGCTGCAGCCACAGAAGCTTGTCAAAGACTCCACAGAAAGTCCTGGCACAGAAAGGTTCCCATCTCCCTCCTGTGTGGATAAGCACCATTCCTGCCTGCTGCCATCTCAAGATTCCCCCTCTCCCCTTCCCTAAAGCTGTCTAGGGAGTGTCTGAATGGTCTTTGCTGAAAAAGGTGGTAGAGAGATGCTTCAGTCCTACAGTTCAGGTTTCTCTTCCTTGTCCAAAGGAAGGTAGAGGAATTAAGCTGAACTCCTTGGCAGATACAGACAATTCCTAACAGGATCTTTCACATGGAGGCATCCTTTGTTTGCTTTCTTCATGCCAGTTAGCTTTAATCCCAAAATCAGCAGGGTCCATTTCAAGTAAATCCGGAAAGGAAACCAGGATGAAACTGAAGAAGAGCAATTGTCATGAGGAGACTCGAAGTCTTACTGCATGGGAGGATTTCAAAGTAGTAAGGTGAAAGGTGTGACATTTCCGCATTGTAATTTCCTCATACCTAGGGCACTGAAGAGCTTCCTCCCTCCCCTTCCACTCACTCACTCACTCACTCACTCACTCACTCACTCACTCACTCTCAAGCCCAGAAACCCCAGTGAACAAGCCCAAAAGGCATTACAGAGCAGGCAGGTCTGTGGAATCCACCCAGGTAACGCTTCACCACTACCTTGCAACAGTTGTGAGCATTACTGTGTGCAAAGCACTTAATACAACACATCAGAGTAATTCCTGAATGAAACCATTCAAATTCTTGAGAAGCAACCTGCAACCCAACATTTTTCTGCTTTCAAACCCAAGGGGCTGCACTTCTATTACTGTCAAACTTACACAGTACAATGTAAAGTATACTTAACGTATTTTTTCATCTGAGAAGGGGGAGAAAGCATGTACTTTAGTGGAAAAAACATCTCTACTCTACTGATGCAAAACTAAAAATATACATTGTGCATCAAACACTGGCACATCCTCTTGGCTGACTTTTGTATAATAGCTTTTGTACTTTTAGTACACAAATTTAAGTAGGAAAATTACTTTGGAATTTGTTTGGACTGTTATGTGTAATAATTTAATGATAAACCTCATGCTTTATTTTTGAGAGTTAGGCTGAGATGCAGTAAGAAAGCTGTGAGAGGTAAGAATGCAGCCTTTGTTTAGTAGAGCAGATGAGCCAAAGTACAAAAACTTAAGAGGTGTAAGCCAGTTTCCATTACACTGAAACTCCTGTATTAGAGGGAACCTTATTTTATTCACTAGACATTACTATTTCCATCCTGCTCTCACAGCTAACACAGCAGGGAAAAGGCAGGAAAGGCGGAGAATTGGAGGGGTATGTTCTGTATGAGGAACAGACCTGGTTTAACAAGCAGGCAAGATGAATTTTTTAACTGACTGAATTTAAACTAATGCTGACTGCAGACATGCTCACCTTCGTGTATAATTTATATTTTATCAAACCTCTCTCAATTACTCAAGCTTTACTTTCAGATCATGTGGGACTCCTAAAGCAGAGTTTCCTGAATTCAAAACATGTAAAGGATTCCTAAGGTCATTAAGGAGAATGGCATCTTTGGATAGGGATTTTTGGAGGGTATAATTTGCAAGAAAAATATCTGAAAAGCAAAGCTGGTGAAAGAAATAATGGCCAGAAAACATGTTTGTGAAGGATGGTTTCATAGCACCCAAAAGGTTGCTCCAGAGTTAAAAAATAATGCTTTTGTATTCCCATATCCAATCAATTTGAACACTGTACCATTCCTTTCAGCAATTACAGCTTCCATTATGAGCTGTAAGTGACCATCTCTCCAACAAACAGTATCATTTACTTTTTTGGTTTTTGTATTTACCAAAATAGGGACAGAACAGACAAAATCTGAACAAAGAAGGGAACCGGCAAGACAGTGCATGAAATTGCAGGCAAGTGAAACTGCCCTAAACAAAGAACCTCTGAACTAAGTATCACTCTCTTCCTGTAGAAGAAACCACATAAACAACTAAAACAAATTTATACTTTTATAAATGTTCACTTTTATTCAAAGACTTACTGCATACACATTTCCAGAGTGACTTAAGCAGCATATCGAGTGAACTGCAAATATTTACTGTAGCATTTTTATCCTTGAAGGTTTGCTACTGAGGTCTGTAATTTTTTCTTTTTTACTTCCTCTCAACAGGCGCCCAAATTATGAAGGAAGTTTTCTAACAAACAGTGACTGTAAACATAATAAAACCTGCATGCCATTTTCCCTTTCAAGTTATTACCTTGGCCGTTTTTCTGCAATGAAGTAATGACTCATTTTTTACAACCTGACAGTCATGTTGTGCACATGGACAGTACCTATGATTTACTCAGGCAATAAATGTTTAGATGGATAAAGCATTCATTTATGATACATTCAATCTGAATAAGCAAAAACCACAGAAAATGTGGGAACAATTCATTGCATAGTCCTTACTAGCAAGCAAGTGGCTAGGAAATTAGTAACAGTGATATACAGCATTGGAAATTTAGGAACTAACAGGTAGGTTTTGTGACAAAAAAACCACTTATTTCCATAATTTTTTCTGGTATGAGTAATGCCTCGTTTCGTCAGCGCTAAACAATTAATACAATCTCCCCAAAATAAAATAAAAAAATATGAATATAAAATGCCTGAATGTGTGGAGTAGTATTTTTATAGCTTCTGCAGAGAAAATACAGTTACCAGAATCTCCACCTTGCTATTGTCCCAGAAGTATGATACAGATTTTTAAGTCTCTTCTTAATGAGATGAAGAAGTTCAGACGTACCCCAATTTGAACATGCTAATCATATTGTGCAGGAAGGGAGATGGAGAGGTGATAACTGGGAGTCAGAAGAAAGACAGAATACACTGCACTCAACATGGTTTTCCTTCATAGCAGAAGACACCTTCTTGTGGGAAGGGCAATGCAAATGACAACTTAATCCAGGCATGACTCTCCTGCACAAATCAAGGATTTAACAGCCCTGGAACCACCCAGGCCTGCTTCATCCCTGCCAGGATTGCACCACCACAAGAAGGAGTGAGAGGGCAGACTCCCCTTTCCACATCCTCAAATTTATTACCACACTAAGATCTGCAATTTACTACTATTCAGTGCTTTCAACTGAAGGATTAATTAGTAAAAGGTATTGGAAAACGTAGTAACAAAGTCTGTCATTAACCAGACAAAGTGCTGGAAGTTTGGTGGATCACCACCAAAGGTCAGCATTTACGACCAGTCACTGTATAACAGTACCAATTATTACTTTTCTTTATTGCCCAGCAGGGAAAACCGTTCCCCAGTAGCAGACAGTGCTGACTTCCCAGCAGTGCAGAGCAGGTTAGCCAGCCTCACTCACTGCACAGGACAGACACAGCTGACAGGACAGCAGTCCAGTCGATTTTCAAATAAAGGATGAAAGAAGGAAAAGAGAGATGGACCAAACAGGAGGTAATTTCTATCTTGAAACAAGGATTACCTTGTCTCATAATTAAATGTTATGTTGCAATTTGATTAATTCTGTTTTGCAGGTAATAAATTGATTCTTCATCCATTGTATTATCTAGACAGGAAATGTTATCAGACAGAGCTATTAGTCTGGTATTACTCAAAATATTTGCTAATCTGTGCCATATAGCTAAGCCTCTGAGAAGTAACTGCCAACTTTCTACTCTTTAACCTTAAAAAAACCAAAATTAATTCAAGAAGCCAGTTCTTGTTTATAACATGTTTTTATACCACTTAGTGTTAAAATATTAAACACCTGTTATTCTATCAGTGATTTTAAATCAGGAACATTTTTAATCTGGAAATCCAACAGCATCTGTCCAAGTGCTTTACCCTGTAAGAAAAAGAACCAAACCAACATTTTATTTTGCTATCTAAATACATCATCCTTTTAAAACAAGTTTTTAAAAAATGGTTTCATATGAGTGTTTTTCCTATAATCAGTGTGAGAATTCAGTCTAAGTTGCTTGAATTTTCAAGCATCCAAATCTGAAATGATTACTAAAATCAATTCATTTGGGGTTCAATTCTATCTATTCATACATAGCATCACCTTACCTTGTGAGCAGACTTCTTGACTGTGCTGAGATTATTTGCACATGAGCATTTCTGAGCCTATGAGCACAGCTGTATGAGCTGTAGCATTGCTCAGGATCTCATCTTCAGGTTTAGATGTTTTAAATTTTAATACTCAGATCGTACACTTGCAAAAAAATTTTCACGCATCATCAACACAAAAAAAACCCTCATATCCATCTGGTTTTCATGTTTATATGATTTATCAGTATTTTAACTACAGAAGGCATATGCTAAATGAGGAATTGTCCTACAGTGCATGGTTCCTTGCAACATGCACAAGTATATACTTGGAAATAATCAGAATTGCCTAGTAAATAATTTTTCAGAATGTGACAGCCTTTCTCAGAAACTAATTTTACTGGTGCATCAAAAAACTGGTAGTCAAATTAGTTATGCTCTTTATGATGTACTATCTTACTAGTACACATCTTTTTCATCAAGTATTCTAAACCAACTTTCTACTTTCCTATGCTGTTTTCAAACCTTAGAAAATTAAATAGACAATATCTATAGGAAATTAAAAGGAACTAGATTCAAACCCCAAACCTCACAGTTCCAGCCCAAAAGCTGGTTATAAAGAGACCCATAAAAAATTACTTTATTAAAATTATTGCTTTGATACATGCCTGTGGGTCACTTCTTAGGGATGCTATACCACCACCACCAAGGGAATTCTTCAGAACAAAATTTAATCCATGGATTCCTGGCAACTCATATCTGTAAAATAAAAACAGCACATCATTTCTCAGGGGATTTTGGAAGAAACGTGTAGAGAATACCAAGCAAAAACCGACATGCAAAATTTTCATGCTTCTGATCACATCCCACTGCTGAGCCAAGTCTAAAAGGTAACAAGATTAGCCCAAGGCTTCATTTGCCTCCTTTTTCCTTTCTCTTACTCCAAGTTAACAGCCCTTAATAGTTTTAAAGTTGGATCATAAAGTAATCATTCTCCTCTACTCAAAACTCATCCATTTCTATTAAGGTTGTTTCTAGAGTTCTTTCTTTGTATGAGTTCAAGTCCGTATCTGTAAGCCATAGGTTCAAGATCCAATATGAACTCCAACAACATGATGGGCAAAAGAAAGTATTTTTATTAGCTCCTAGTTCTGATACTGAAAAGTACAATCACTTAATTCCCGGAACTCACTTTTGCTAACAAACTGGCATTTTGCTAACAAAATCCAATTGCTAATTGGAAAGACTCCCTCTTCACTACTGAGAAACATCTATGAGTCATTACATCAACTCCTAGGACGAACAGATAACTTTATAGCAAATTCAAATCACAGCTTTGCTGGAGCCTTGTACTTTGTTCAGATAAAGTTTTATTTTAGTGTGACAGACCTATGTTTCTGTTCCATCGGCTCTGTAAGCATTTTTCCATCCTTGCTTTTGACTGGTGCAGTCCCAGTTTGGAAACTTCTGTAGCCATCTGGCAAATGGCTCTGTGGTTTCCTATTGTTTCAAATTCCAGAAATAGGTCTACAGTATATTTCCATTTGCCTCTCCTTGCAGTTTTTCAGTGTTTTGTCATCTTCCTTCCATTATTGGTTTTCTTTGGTTTTGCTTTTCTCCAGTATTTCTTCATCTAAGTACCTGATAGCTTTGCTCTAATTCCATAGGAAAGGATTTAAATCAGAACATCATCAAGCCATGAGGCATCAACAGAGAAAGATATCCAATTCTCACTGTCTCCAGATGTTTGGCTGCTGCAATTTAAATCCTGATTCATCCAACACTACACTTACTATTCTTTAATCACCTACCTGATTTCATATGTTTGGGACACTGATTTCATATGTTTGGGACAGATTCTTTGAATCTTTCCCCCTAATATAGGTGGAATTCCTTGCAGTGCTCTTATGCTGCTGATTTTGTCACTTTGAGGCTCTTCTCTTTCAGCTCCTTTTGAGCACTGTGAAAACAGTGGCTGTTGCTGGTGCTCACAGCTGTTGCTGGTGCTCACAGCCCTGTCTGCCCTTTTATCTTGGGCATATGACCCAAACCTCTTGTGGAAGGAGATGATTCTGCTGAGCAGTCTGGTAATCACTTCAGTTCTTGGTTTAGAAAGCAAGTAGTCGTGGAGTGTCCGTATCTGTCTCCCAGGTAAAAAGTTTTAACTTTAAGTTCCTTCTACTTTTTCATTACTACTCTCTGCTTTAATATTAGTATTATTAGTTATTATTAAGAAAAAAAAATTGGTGTCAGCATTCTGTTGCTCTTTCTCAAAAACTAGTTGAGAGGCAACATTAACACACAGGCAAATCCACTGGGAAGGCAGGAAAGTAGACCAATCTACCCCAGTGCTCTATTAGATAACATGAATATGAAGAATAAAGCAATTCTACAGTTAGTTACCTAGCTAATTTACTAAATTTAATACCATAATCAGCTACATAGCACAACCAGGTAACTCCACAAAATTTTCTAAAAATCTAAATGAAAATTTCCAATCACTACATACCACGAAAGCCAGAGCAAAGCACTACACTATAAATTTTACTCTGAAAAGCTGGCAAAGATTTTCAGGCAGCAAAGAATTTCACAACTGGAGGATGTCTCCTCAAGATCCAGGACTGATGGAATATCGATTCCTAATACTACCTCATCTCTCAAAAGAAGTGTCATGAAAATCAATCAGGAAAAACAAATCAGGAGAGAAACTGAAGAGCATATAAATGCAAAAACAAATAGGTTGAAGAATTTAATTTCACTTTCTGCAGTAATTCTGGCAGAGGAAATATGTAATACAAGCAACAGATCTTAATTTGGAACACTATAACATGGCACATTATTTACTCTGAGAAAATACTTACAGTGGGATAATCTAGCTAAAATGAGGATTACAAAATAATATATGAAGGCCAGCATCTTCATTATTTTAAGGCTTGTCTGAAGCATCTGAGCATCCAAAATATTTTCACACAGAAAATAAACTTGCACAATAAAAGGAAGAAAAACCACTATACCCATTATAATAGTCTTAAGCAGCAACAACACATTGACCAAAATGCTGGCAGGCATTTACTTAGCATAATTAAACAATTAAAGCTTAATTAACTGAGATCTAAAGGGAAAAAATGATCTAATTGTAGAATTTGATTAAATGTCTTAAAAGCTGTTTTTAAAAAACACAGAAAATAAATAAACCCTTCAAAGAATACTCTATCTGTAACAGAAACCAGTAATACAAGGAATATTCACTGTTCTAGCTGCATTCCTATGCTTATGCACAACAGAATGCCTGCTTAACTACTTCCTTTAAAGTGCTGTCCATAATACTCAAGAGAAGTCAGGTTTCCCAGAGCATTTCCCATTAAAATGCATGGAAATAATAATGATATAAAATTATTTAATACATTTAAATCAAAGAAAAGACAGGATTGTTTTCATCACAGGAAAGCAGGAACCAAGTTCATAGGCTTAAAGAATTGTTTGCATATGAGATATTCTGTAGAGAAATACTTATTTTTGCTCTCTAACAAATGTAGGTACAAAAAATTCTCAAATACATTGAGAAGCATCAGCATCCACATTTCTTGTTCTTCAGCTCATGGTGAAAACATTGCATAGAAGAAATCATGCTGTCATTTTTTAGTATTTCTGAATATTGAACATATTATATATAAAACATTACATATACCACATTTCAGAAGATGAAAATAGCAAAATCTCAGGATAGTTTTATCATCCTTCTTAGATGACTGACCTAGTACCACTGCACAAAAAGTTCCTTATTCTGTATCTTAAGATACCCAGACCTGTTAAGAATGTACTCCAGCACTCTACTGTGGTAAGCAATCACCTTGGGATTGAAAGATTATCTATTGCCATTATTTTACCTGCCAATCTGGAAGTTTATGTGTTTTCGGTGTTCACTACCAAAATAATCCCACCTGTTCTCTGTTTAGTACACCTATTTAATGTCTCAAGTGAAAAAGCATGAAAGGCAACTGGTTAACAGACTCTGTTCTGTAGTGAGGAAGAGCCATGGTTGATATGTTTATGGTAGCAAAACTAATACATAGCTTTTAACTACTCACCATTTAGAAAAAGGAAATGAATCAGACAGTAAGACAGCTCTATTTTATGACAGTTAAAACTAAAAAATAAACAAGTCATTTAAAAAGAAACTACAAAATCTGAAGCACATGAGCATAATCCTTATAATCCTAAATATTTCCACAAAAGGTTTTATTCTTTCTCCCTAGTTGCTTTCCAATTCACTCACAGAGCTCCATTATCACATCATTAATGGAAGCCAAAACCTCAAACAGATAATCTAATTAACCAAATTAATTTGGCTACATCCAGACAGAGCAAATTTCTAGTTTTATTTATTATATAAACAGCATAAAGGAATGGCAATGAATCAATTTCTAGAAGTATCATTAGGAGACATGGCATAGTTTATTTCTTCCCCTCTGCTCAGTTTCTGAGGAAATTCAATTACAATTCTTAGTATCACAATTTATTAGATACATAGATTTGTTAGCACTTACGAAACAGTGGGTGAGATCTGCACTGAGCTGCTTATGAAGACAAAACCAGCACTTATAATTCAAAGATCAGGGGTTAAAATAACTCCAAGCTCTCTCTGAGCTTTGACCTGTACCTTTCTGACTCAAGCTCTTTGAGCAAACAAAAAAAAAAAAAACAGTTAACACTTTATCCAACTACCTATGGAAATACAGAAAGGATTTTGGCAAAATCTCCTTATGTGCAGCATAACTGACTTTGTATCAAAACAAGTTTTAGAAGACTGGATGGTTTGTGGCAGTATTTAGCTTTTACTTGTTTCCAAAGAGATAAAAAGGTTTAAAATCTGTTGACTGTTTTACTGGACATCCTTAGGAGAGCAAACTTCATTACCTCATGCTACAACAAGAGAACTGTGTGTTTCATTCCCAGGAAGGGTCATGAGCATCAGCCATACCACAAAAATAAGAATGTTATATATGTTGTCTGCTGGCAGAGGATATTCTTTAGTAGATGAGTATCACATTAAAGTGTCTTGTTTAGGATATATTCTCTTTCAGATTTGAAGAGAAATTAGCTATGTTTTTTTCTTTAAATTCTGGCTTGGTATATGAGGCACAAAAGTGGGTTAGAGTGGGGTACTAGAAGGAATAGCTTCTCTAAAGTGAGTGAACTTCATAAATATTAATATGTTTTACAGAAATAGGGACAGTATGAGGCCCATTTCTGATGGATTACCAGGTAAGTTTGGGCTCCAGACTACACTGGCTGTGTGAATGTCTTTCAGGTAGTGTTTTACAGATTTCTAACCCTCAGTTCAGCTCAGAGGCTTGGGAAGCTTCAGTTACTAAAGCCCCTGCAGTTTCCAAACGGTTCAAAACCAGTGGAAAGACACATTTCTCAAAGGACATGGGAAGCTATTTCTAGTTGGTAAAGACATTCTGTACTGGAACAAAACAAAGGAACAGCCCCAACACTACTAAGCTAATTCTGAGAATTTAAATGCCTTCACTAAACGGATTCACGGCCTTTGTCCAGCTTCGAGAGAGGCCCAAGTTCATGTTCTTTCTCAGTGACTATGCTCAAGTTGTTATTTAAAAAGGCAAAGGAAGATATACAAAAAAAAACCCAAAGGAAAGACACACAAGTTTGCAATATTTATGTTGCATATTTTAAGATAACTTCTGATACTATCATGTATCTCCCAGACAACTGTGGGATGCACAGCAAGCTACTCACCTTGTTACTAGCTCTTCTTCTGGTTTCTCATGCTCTAAAAGGTGTTGAAAGTAATTCTCCAGGGCTTGAGCAGTTAAAGTTTTCTTTAGGTATGGATAGTAGAGGGGATGCCGTGCTATCACACCTGTTAGGCATTGATTGGCATTAGTTCAAATAGGAAGTGTTAAAACCAGTTTGTGTTTATCCTTTCAAAACCAATTTGAGATCCTCCGCTTAACTGAAACTGTACATACGGATCTCCTTTAACGAGCTCCTGAATAAAATATACAACAACATGACAGCTCTCCCTCTGTCAGTAGAGATGTAGGGTGCAGCATGACACCAAAGAATGCTAAGTGACCACTAAGTGACCACTGGATTTTTTCCTGCTGCAAACAGGCCCTGCCACTGAAAGACACCTAAAGAACAACATCACAACAAACCACCCACAGGCAATTCTCTTCCCTTAAATGGTTTGCAAGACTTAGATATTTAAGTAATCACAATTAACCACAACAAGGTATGACCAGTGATCAAAGGTTTGGTCCTTGCCCCATCTCTTGCACAGGATTCTGATGTGTGACAAATCACAATTACATTTTTATTGCTGTATATATGCTTTATAAACTTCAGCTAATTTTATGCTGAAGCTGAGGTTCCAGAGCAGGATCATGAAAACAGGTTTGTGTCACAGGGATCTTTCTACCTGGACTTCATAAAGGTGAAATTTGTTGTTGTTAGTGTTGTTCCTTAGAAAAAGCAGTATTGTCTTTATATCTGAAGCAGTCTATTATGTATACATCATTCATGACTTGGCAATGCTACATTGCAACAGTGGTCAATCATGGAGAAAGAATAAAAAAGGAAAAAGAAAAGAAAAAAAAAAATCAACATTGCTTCATTCTTCAACCCAAAAAAAACCAGTTTCACAAACAAGGACAAGGAAAGTATATCCTGAATACAAATGAACAAAATTAATCTGTTTTAGCGTGACAGCTAATAGCAAATCAAATCCCAAACGCACCTTTAATTCATACTGAGCTTTGAACACCACACGCTCTCATCTTCCAACAAGTAAGAGAGCCAATTGTTGCATGCAGAAGTAAGGAATAGAAGGAATTATTAAACAATGCAAGAAGCAGCACAATCAATGCAAAGAGACTGCATACTGAAATACACCATTTGCATTAGCAATATAATAAAAACATTCTTGTACATATGAGAAAAACTTTAGTATTTCCTAACACTGTCAATGTTTTAGCCATAGACGTGTTACAAAATTAATGTATGAAAATATTATATATGATCAGACAACCAAGAAATTATATTATGTAACATACACACATGAAGGAGTAGCAACTGACAGGTAAAAGAAACCTTAAAAAGGCATTATTTAACTTCTGGGAGCTCAACTTTCCAACCCTAAACAAAAAACTTTCTTTTCAGTATGACATGCTATAATTTTTTCCTTAGTACCTCAGATTACAACAGCTGCTCATCAGAAGACTACAGGTATTTCATTAGTAAAGTCCATATTCAATATGTATTGTCCTCTGTTTCAGCACAATTATAAAAAATAAAGGTCAAGATGTTTAAGACTAGCACTTGATATGTAACTCTTATGTGAAAGTGTTACTTCAGAAAGCAAAAGAAAGAAAAATACCTATGTTTGCAGAATTGCCTTTGTCTCCACTTCTAGTGTAGGCAAGATCTTCTAAGCGGTAAGTATGTGGACCACTTGGTAGATCTGTACAAGATAAAAATGAATCCATTTTAATGGTGCTACAAAAAATCACATATTTTGAAGGAGTAACTGTCAGTTTAAATGCACACTTTTTGCATTGTACTCTGAAATTTCCAATCCTTCTCACAGGAACACCCAGAGAATAAGAGGTGAGACTGGGGCCAAAATTAGGAAGTTGACCCCTCCTGCTCCATCTCCCAAATCCCTTTCACTTTTTTACAGCCAAATGCTGTACCATGCATCACCCTTCAATATGATTTGCATCTTGGCCTTAGCAATGCTGTACCTCTGAAGGAGGCCTAGCAGCTGCTTGTCTTTTCTTGCTTGCCGTAACTTTTGTCCCCTTAACACACAGATCTCTGCTTCCAGTGCAGGTGGAAATACCTGCACTTGCTACTGTCCTGATAATTCTGTTTAGTCTGCTAACGCCAGTAGAAAACCTTTTCAAGACAACACATCTCTCACCTGCATTTTCACTATACTTCTTATCCAGCTGCATAGAAGAAAACTAAGATTTCTTTTTCAAGTTACTGTTTTTGTAAATACCTTAGTTTTATATAAGAAACTGTATGCTTTCTCGGAAGCCAGTCTTGATTTTTTAACTTGTCCATGTCTGAGTACTGGATGTTCAAGAAACATAGACGTTGTTGCACTTCACTGAATGAAGTTCATATGAAGTATTTATATCTATGTATCAAAACAGAAACCCACTCCTGCCCAAATCCAGAAAGTCAGTACTGTGGGATCCACACAGTACACACCTGAGGTTTGATGGTTAAGCACAGACCTCCTGCAATTGTTGATTACTAAGAGTAGTAGGCTGTCACATCTAGCTCCTGTTCTCTAAAGAGGGAGATGAAGCACCCACTTTGCTACTGAGTTGGAGTTACTCATTGATCACACCTTAACACTGACACTTGAAGCATGGGCTATATCTGAGCTTTTAGGCAGTGAGAATTGAGTAATTTCCAGTCAGTTTTGCTTCCGATCCAACTTTCCTATGACCATATCATTCTCCTGGCCTCCTTGGCTTTTCAGTCTCCCCATCAATAACAGACTGACCTCCACTCCCGACTCACAGTAAATTTCTCATCCCTCACTCCTCTCCTCTGTCCCCTTTCTGGTTTTTTTTTTCATCCTTCTGGATGGAAGTGAGTTCTCACCCTCTTTCTGCTCCTTGGACACCAGTAGGGGGAATATGCAGAGCAGAGAAGTGACAGCCTTCCTGCTTTGTGGCAGCTTCTGGTGCAGCTGCTGCTGATGGCAGCCAGAAGCAAGCCACAAATGTTGCAAATTTAAACAAACTGAATATACACGATCATGTAAATCAATTATGCTGGACTAACTTCATGTTGCAAGGCACAATGCAATTCTGAAAATACATCAGTCTGTCCTTTTTGTAATATTATTGCTTCTGCTGAGAATACCAAACTATTTTGGGTTTTTTTTTCCTTTTTAAATTTTGTTTTAATTTTAGGGAGTAGGAGACCCAGTATTAAAGATCTTATGCTCCAAATACTGGCCAGGGGCATCACTTAGAGCACAGTGCACCTACTATGCAGGCATGAGAAGATAATGCATTCTGTGAACTGCATCAGGTAATCAGGTAAACCCAGTCATAGCCTAATCATCCTTACCTTCAACTCCTTCCTGCCCACAGAAAATTACTGACACAGACATGAGCCAGGTTGACCTAGGTAAGAGGGAAACTATGTCCAAATCCTACTGGCTGCAGTTTTCACTGATGCTGTCTGTGTGGCAAGTGGCACTGGACAGATCCCCCAAATCCATCGAGTATGGGGTGGGAGATGCCTTACTATGACATGACACATAATTTGTATCTGGTTTTGATTGTAGCAAGAGGAGCTCTGCTGGCACATGAGTGGCAATAACAAGAACGATAAGAAAGAACTAGGGGCTCACCACAGCAACCTCTTCTACTGGCACACCTGGATCAGAAAATCTCCCCCACAATCTACCCAAACAACAACTTTTCAGCACTGAACTGCTTTAATTAAGACCTAAAGTTTTATAATATATTTTGGGTCACTGTGAAGGGTGAGGTGTAAGAGTGATTATAGTTTAGTCTGGCACAATGGCTCCTCAGTGGTAGAAAGTCACAGGAACAAGGAATTTGAAGAGGTTAAAGCATACAGTGAAAAAGCGGAATACGGGTTTGTTTTGAGCTTGAAGATCACAATGTTTTCCACGTTCACTTGCAAGCAGAAATGTGCCATGAAATGTAGCAGAAAATATTTAAGGGTGTATTTATTTAATTGGGGAATATTATTTTTGATTAAACATCTCCACTGAGAGTGGATCTGAAAGTCCAGCTAAAGCCCATCACTCATTTTGGACAGGACTTCCACACTTCATAACACTACAAAATCACATTAATTTTCATCGTTTCATTCAATATACAATTCAAGACAAAATGTAGTGTTTTTTCAAAGGCTGAAATTTGACAATATCTAAATTGCATAAGCTGTAGAAATCTATTCTCCATCAGACATTTTACAGAGTCAGTCTCTGACAATCTCCCTTTAAATTAAACCAGTTCAAGTCAGTGTTCTGGTGTTCTCATTTATTATTACCCAAACTGATTTATCTTTCATGATCTGTTTATCAGGAAATTGTTTTCATTCAATAAACATCTTAAATAAATCTACAGAAGAATCCCCTTCAAAGCTAGGAAAAATGGTAAATTCAAATTCCACCCTCCCAGAAGCACATCTAGTAGCATATTTTAAATCCATTTTCACATATTTCTCTTATCTATTCAACAACGACTAACAGTCCCTCACACTTGAGATAACCATGAAACTAAGAAAAATACTTTCCCCTCTCTTCTAAATGCTGACAGAAAATGCTTTAGCAGAAGCTATTCCTTTTACAGTCTAACCCATTTGTCTTTCTCATCCATGCTGTCCTACACTAAGCCACAGAAGTAGGTAAGTATTTACTCACATGCAGAAAACATTTATATTTACAACCAAGGGCAAAAGTTTAGAGATCATTCTCAGGGGAAATAACCAGAAACGCTCTGCTGTCTCTCAAAAGTGGGGTTTTGCCTGAAAAAAGGCCTGAAGAATTCAGTAGTAAAATAGGCAGTAAGGAGTCCAATAGCTTTTTGCTTCTCCATTATTCAGCACTGTAGTCACCTTAAAAAAAAACCCAAACCCAGGACCTTTGCTAACCCTTTCATTAAGCAGAACAATGACTACTACCTATTCCTTAACTTGCCCAGTCTGATGGTGCAAATACCCACTGCCCTCCTGAGAACTCCCAGGGAGCTGAGAGATGCTGGTGTGACATCAGATTTCCAACAGACATAAGAGTTGAAACCACACTTAAGAGTTTAACTTGTTTCTGCACGACACAAATCATTGTACTGAAGAGACGTTTGAATAGCTGGGGAAAATGAACACATGCATGGTAATCAGGCATCCACTACCAGTGGCTTTCAAATGGCAATAAACAGTCATGTATGTATTTCAAAATGTCTCTGTGTGATACAAACAATCCCTTACTAACTCATATTAGTTGTTGCACTGTTCTATTACTAGTTTTGAGAAACATGACTCACCTTTATCTGGAATCCAGAGTAAATGTTAACATGTAAATGCCTTAATAACATTTATTTTTTAAGTATACACAGAATTTAATACCTGACTTACTCTTTCACTATCAGTATTATTTTCAGAAATTTTTCTAACTTGTAATTTTTAGGTAGAGTCACCTGATTCAGATTTTCAAATACCTAGCCACAGCTTTAAATTAATTCTCTCAGTTCTCTGGTAAGCAGAAATAAGATAACGAAGACTATTTGGACCAAAAGGGAATTATGGAGCATGCTAAACTTTAAGAAATACTGTATATAGTTCAGCCAGTAGAAAAAACAAAACTTTTCAGGTGTTCAGCACTTTCAATAATTGCTTGTATGAGCAACTCTGATTTAACATTTCCTTGTCATTGCAGACATCCGGACCTGCTCCATTCAGCTCACTGGTTGGCCCTTCTCAAGGTTCTCTTCTTTCTCAGAGAATTTGGTCTGACACATCTAGCAGCAACAGAGGAATTATCATGCTGGATTATTAACCCAGTATGATTTCTTTTAAAGTCACCAGTTCCAGGCTGATCCCATTCTTATTAATTTTGTGAAGGCTGCCATATAGAACAGGAGTGAATTTTAATTATCTAAGTGCTGCAAGTCCTTAAATCAATCTGTTCGTCTGTCCTTTATTCTGAACACTATTTTGATGTAAGATAAACCCAACTGTTCCCAGGATTCCCAGGATCCATAAAATGTAAAGTTACAGTATACTTTGAAACCACATTTTCAATTTCAAGCCAGCTTTACATGGTCTTCAGTTGTGTTTAAGGCTTAGGAGTTTTTAATAAAAATTTACTGCCATACTTGTTAGAATCTCAAATACATGTTATACTGCTTGACACTAACCACCTTCCAAGAAAACAGCCTGTGTTTTGCAACAGCTATAAAAATGTATCACATAAAGAGGCAAAATGTATTTCACAGTCAAAATTTAACACAATTTACCAGGACAAAGATAGCAAATGATACATTCACAAGCACAAAGATGAACGTACCTTTCAACTCACTGCTAGTCTTGGGTAGATCAAAGGAATCCACATCATCTGATGTAAAAGTGAGCTCCTCCTCAAATATCTCAACATGCTGCCCATTTAAAAATAGGTTGATCTGTACAAAGAACACAATTTTCAAACACCCAAATCAGGAATCCATTGCAATGTGAATAAATAAAGCATATTCCTAATTAAGTACTGATCTAGTAGACTTCCAGTAATAGCTTTACAGATAAGGCTCTGCTGCTCCCTTTTTAAAGGTCACAATACAGTAACAATTCATTATAAACCTAAAAGAAATCTTTGTTTAGGGAGAAAAAAGGTATAAAAAATGCCACAGAAATGCTCCATCCAGTTTGGGAGTTTTTAAAGGAAGAAAAATCTCTTTCCATCTCACTCAATATACTGCAACACTGTATGCAATTTTGTGTCACAATTCTTTGACAGTTGAATCCCAAAACTTGAACATTTTCCATCTTTTCTATGATGCAACCTCCTTTTCTTCTTATGTTGCTGTCTGCATTAAAGACAAACTTCTCTATGCATTCTGTGTTTATCTTCAAATATATTTTCTGAAAGCTTCTGAAAAAATACATCAATACAGGAATTTTGGGCTTGGTTGTTGCTCAGTAGCAACACTTAGAGTAGACTTTAAGTCAATGACTTTTCAGTCTCCCAGAGCTCTGCCAGCAAGTGGGTGCACAGGGAGCTGGGAGGGAGCATAGCCAGGACAGCTGACCTGAAGTGGCCAGAGGGATATTTCACACCACAGAGCATCGTGCCCAGTATATAAATGGGGAGAATGGGGAGTTGGCTGGGAGCAGCTGATCACTGCTGGGGGATAGGCTGGGCATTGGTCAGTGGGTAGAGGGACACTCTATGGTGTATCACTTGTCTTTCTTGGGTTTTATTCCCCTCTTACTTTTTTGTCACCTCCCTTTTAATAACACCAACAACTACTACTTTGTTTCAATTATTAAACTGTTCTTATTTCAACTTGTGTGGTTTATTTTTTCCCATTTTTCCAACTCTCCTCCTTAATACATTGTGGAGGGCAGAGGTGAGAGAGTGGCTGAATGGCACTTAGTTGCCACCTGGGAATAAACCTTGACAGGCCTTGTTCACACCCCACATGGGGCTTAATGGGTTGAGATAACAACAGATCTGACTAGAATATGCTAGAAGAAATTTACAAGCATTCATTGTATTAGTTTAATAGCCACTGATCACAATGACTTATTTAGTCTCAAAGTTGATGTGTTTGTTCTTCAATTATGTACTGGCCTACTTGCAGTATGTGTTCTCTGTTATGATGTTTATCACCCATGGAAACCCGGCTGAGGTTATCAAGCTGTACTTTGTAACAGTGGGTAATGATACGATGTAATTGCTGGTTGTGAAACTATTCAGATATTTGCACTCAGCATGGCTGTCATCCCTGCACGTGGGAGTCATCTATCAGAAACTTGCTAATTATACCTTTCACCTTTTCGCTTTGGAAACTCAGACCATGAAGGGGACACACTTCCTTTCCTCTTCCCCTTATCCTCCAGGCTAATTACAACAGGTCTTGAGGATTTTTAATATCCTGAGATGATCAAACAAGCATGTTCCTATCATTGTATCTTCACAGAATCAATTAGGTTGGGAAAGACCTCTGAGATCATCAAGTCCAACCTATGATCCACCATGTCAACTAGACCTAAGTGCCACATCCAGTCTTTCTTGAAACACTTCCAGGTATGGTGACTCCACCTCCTCTTAGGTAGCTGTAGTGCATGATAAGGTGTCCTCTGAACCTTCTTTCCCCCAGGCTAAACAACCACAGTTCCCTCAGCTGCTCCTCATGAGACCTGTGTTCTGGACCCTTCACTAGCTTTGCCAGCTTCTCTGGACATGCTCCAGCACTTCAAAGTCCCTCTTAAGTTGAGGGGAAAAAATGTGCTGGCCCAGGCCTACCAACTCTATTTGACACTATTCTTCTCAAGAGGAAAATAAAGTGGATCTGATGAAAAAACAAAAGCCCTGCAGCTCAGCTACTTCAACACCGGTGACAGGCACTACAGATGGAAGGGAGGACTAACCCCTCCAAATTCAGTCACTCCTATACATAAAAAATGGACACAAAACTCAGTTTGTAAAGGAGGATGAATCAGGGTCATCACCAGAACATGAGAAAGAGGCAAAACAAGAATCTTTGTTTGAATCAAACAACTTATCTTTGAATCAGATGTGGGATATGCGAAAATATTTAATCTGTCTTCCAGGTCAACACATTATCATCTGGGCGCTATGATGCTGGGATAAGGGAGCTAGTAGCCTGTAATTAGAGGGTAGGGAAGCCAAGTAGCTATGATCACTCTCTCTAGAGAAGGGGACATTGACAACTGGATTTGAAAAAGGGGCCTAGGTCCTCAGCCTCTGAAGAAGACTCCTCTTAAATCTGAAGGAAAGGTATCCCTTTAAGGAAAATGCTTTATGTCACCCAGGTAAGAGAACCACAATGCAGGGAGCTATCCAGTTCTTGAAGGAATTAGCCATGCCAGAGATGATTTACTATGACCTGACTAATATGCAGATACCCACAGATTGAGATGAAGCCCAATTCCTGTGACGCACAGGACAGCAGTTTGTGTGCAGAACATCATCACTGTATCCCAACTGACTGGCAGCAATGATGTGAAGAGACAAAGAGGCACCAGCCATGGATCAAGTGGCTCAACACCTCCAACAATATGGGGAAAAAAAAGTCTTGCTCCCCAATATATATATGGACCAGTAGCTCAGCTTTTAACAGTAAGCATCCTTTTGATCAAGAGGAAGGATGTAGAAAGTACACACGCAGTAGCCCACTCTTCACTTTTACCTGTGGGACCACTGACAGGACATGAGGAAATGGGATGGAAGTGTGGCATTTCATCTGCATTGGGAGGCTCCCAGTATGAAAGATTCAGAAACAATCAGGTTAAACTTCCTGAACCAAACAATATAAACACACTTAGCTGCAGCAGTTATCAGTGCTCAGTTGTCAGCAAATGCAAAACAACTCTACTCAGCACTCTTTCTGAAGATTGTCCTTAAAGAAAAACTAATAGCGACTTGCCTTCAGTAGGTTTGCTGCAATTTCTCCCTACATAAAAGTAGTAGTAGTTACCTCCAAAGCACACATGGAAAACAGTTACTATCTGAACTCTGAAACTACTGATGATCTATGACAAAATCAGTACAATTGCGTAAAAGCAGTGGAAACAACAAATACGACATTAAATCCAAACTGACACACAGAAAAGTGTTACCAAACACAGAAGAAAAGAACTCACTGTGGCAATGTTAACATAACTCATAATCTGCTTATGGATTTTTTTTTTTTAGTTTTAGGTCAAATGCTGACCTAGACTCTTTATAACTGAACTTTTAATTTAGAAAATCAGTTAATTCATACCTTACTCACTCTGTAATCTCTTTCTGGACAATGGTTTTTAAAACATAGCTGAAATTTTGAATCAAGAACTTGAATCACACCACATTTTTACCCTCAGTATTACTGCAGGACAGCAATCATAGGACACACTGCATTTTGCTGACAGCACATCAGCGCCCCTATCAGATAACTTACACAGAGCAAGGACTGTGATTTTCTATACTGAAAAGAGTAAATGAGATACTTTCTTTCCTTGTTCAATTTGGTTACTGTTTAATCTCAACAGCATTTTACCAAGTCTGGAACACAGAGCTAATTAAGTTTGTTAATACTGAATTTGAACAACATAGTGGTAGGTTAAACTTCCATAAAGATAATAATTTCATAGTAAACTTGGCTGTTATGTATAAGGCAAAATGTAACTGATGATAAAAGTACTTCAACTTTAGACAACAAGAAAGGTGGGGTTTTTTAAAATGCTTTTCCACTGCAAAGAGTCTGTAATTAACTTAGATTTAATAACTAAATGGTATCTTCTCTGTAAAGTTGTGAAAAATATTCTCCTTTAATGAAGAATACTACTTAAAAGAATAGGGCTTGGTTGTGGTAAGCACTGTATAAATGTTAAAGAACGAAAACAAAACAGTCCCTTTCTGATGAAGCTGTTTTGTTTGTTCCCCCTTGCCCACTTTTTCACTTTCTGCCTGTGCTCCCAAGCTTCCCTGAGCTATCCTAAGCAGAAGCCTATCACAATACCTGCAGCCTAACACAGACCAACATTCCAGCCTTTGTCCACTTTCTTGATGGTGGATGGGTGACAAGGCTCTTACTGAGTATTAGGATGCCTTGGCATGAGAGGGATGCAGTAGTTACAAGTTACTCGAAAAATAAGGGCATATATGCAGTTTTGTCTGCAGTTTCCAAAGGATAAATGCAGTATCTGATGGCACTCAGAAAAACAGAGTCAATGTTTATAAATCCAAATACTTTATGGTTTTAGCAAAAGCAGTTTCTTCAAGTTTATCTTGAAAACTTCAAACTAGACAGGGGGTATATGCATCACAGAAAAGTAGGCTCTAGATGAACATGCTATCTCTACACTGTAATTTCTCACCTAGTGCTGCCTAGACATCTGAATCGTAAATTCTTGGACTGAAAGGAACTATTGCTATGAACTGAATAGGGCCACAGAGCCACAGGTTCCTCCATGACACCACAATGGTTGCACAGGCTTTTGTAATTTGACAGTTTCTGTAATATAAGCAAGAACAGAAATTACTACTTCTATTTTTATAGACAGGGTATATGGAAGGAGAAAGCCCTATTCTCTATTAAGGTAAAGCCTGTTGAATCTGAGGAGATTCAATGATTTTAGTATTTATTCCCAGTAGTATACACAAAATACATTACTCCCCAAAAACTCAGAAAATGTATCCAAGTTCACAAGATTAATGTTCCACTCTTCAAACACCCAACTGCCTATTCTTTAAAGACACTCCATTAACATTCAAAAAAAGCCTAATATTTTCTTAAGCACTCTTTGCAAATGCAGTAAAAATAATTCAAACTTATTCCAGGAACCTGAAAAGAGAAGTTCAGTTTTGGTGTAAGATATTTCAAAATTAGCAGTAATTAAAAAGGAAGGTTGGCAAGTTCAATTGTTGCAAAACATTCTGTGTGAATAACACTAGTCTCTCAGGAAATATTTTTTAATCAAAGTCACCAGACTACTTTGCAGTTTTATTACTGAAAGTTACCAAAAAATGCCAGAATCAGCAGAATTTTTCAAATTACTTCCAAGAAACTTCAAGCAGACTTCAAGCAGTAGGTCCTACCTGAACATTGCTTTTGGGATAATAGAAGAAAAATGGCTTCAAAACCGGAGACCTAGACACATAAAACAACAAGCATAAATACATTTACCTAGATGAAACTGGCAGATCATACACCCTTGGATTATTCATACATCAAACACTCGGGAAATTAAATCCACTCAACCATGACTAGCTATGTTTATTCGACCAACTTTGGAAAGCCTGAAAAGTGTAAAAACTCCTTAAATTCCACTATTAAGAATATAAAATTTTGTTTAAAAAACTGAAGAAAATTTTACTGAGGGGAGGTAGCCAAAACAGTAAAAATATTTTTCTGACAAAGGACATTGTTTTTTTGACATCCTGACATTGAAGTCTACTACACTGTCAGTAGCCTCACATAGATACCTAGGCCAACTACACAGGGCTACTGGAAATACAGCCACAGGCTCTTCTCCCATATTCATGTGCAGCATTTGCTAAATGACAGGAAGTTTTAGATGAATAAGCGTGAAAAGCTGAGGATACAAATCACCATAAGATTTTAGCCAAATCTAGAAAAAACCTGAACCAAACCAGGCCTTTTTTTTAGACATACTCAACATCATTATGTTCAGCTCAATCATGACATGGTTTAATGATAAATTTTTGTGGGACGTTCTTACATTTGACCTTACATTTCTAGGTGAACTGAGCTCATACAGATGTAAATTTGGTGGGCCCATATTCCAAACTAACAGCTAGAAGAGAACACTGGTCCAGAAATTTCCATGTATTAATGTGGCTGAGCTACTGCTTTGCCATGAAGTCACATTTCAAGTTTTCACTACAGCTCATTAAGATATTGCTATGAACAGATCAGAAACCTACATAACTCACATTTAATTCAATAAAGAATTTTACTATTTGTATGCATATTGTATAGCACTCACTATTATCTTGTTATCAGTTATTAGGCACAGAGTGACACAGGAAGGTTTAGTTGCTTCTGTTGGGTTGCTGCCCCAAGCTGAGAGACCTTGTTATGGTGACTGGTAGGAACATTATCATCACACATTACAACAAGTTAATGATCAAGAGTTAACTTACACTCTGGGGCGCCCTCCAACAATTCCAGTGAGGCCAGGGGCTAGAAAAGGAAATTAAATTCACAAAAGAATGGTTAAAGCCCTCTTCAAAACATCAGAGCTTGCAGCTTATCATAGCTTGAATTGATCCATTTTTAATAAATGCAGGGAAATCTCTAGAAAACTACATACATTCTTGTAAATTAACAAAACTGAACATTTTATACAAGTTAAAAGGCAAAACATGTAACTATGAATTTTAACAAAAAAAAATTTTAATGTGCAAAGTGTGAACTAAATCTTTAGAATCTTCTTCCAAATACTCTGTATACAAATGCCAGTGAGGTAATACATTTGACAGAAAAAGAACTTCAGTTTTTTTGTCATTCTTGTTTTATTTACTTTCCAAGAGAGCAGAGAAAGAATTCTGATGGACCATGTTTTCTTTTAATATTTGTTTAATATGATCTTGCTTGTTTAGAGCAACTGTTTAATTTGAATCACTCTCTCCAGCCTTTAAACTAAATTTGATTGTTTTAAGGTGCTGTGTACTGCAGATCCCATTCTCTCTCTGTGATACAGAGGCAATTCAGGGGCTTAAGGCACCTGCATGAGCCCTGATCTGTGGTAAGTCAGCAATGTATTATCAGGTTGCCAAGCTCTACTGTCATTAAAACCATCTGCTCAGCTCAGTATTTCTGAAAGAAACAGTTCTGCTCTCCTCACCCTTAGCACAGCTTCTCACCCTTCTATCTGGCATGGACAGTAGGAATACATGATGTATCAGAGCTCCAAACAGTATTGCAGGGGAAAGAAACAGTAAAATGTGTAAATTACATCAGCCTAGGAATTAATTAACAACTGTGTTAACCAGTCCCTTTCAAAATTAAGTGCTGTGGAAAGCTGCCCACATGGTGTATTTGGCCAAATTAATTCTGACTAAAAAGGGCTTCATGCTTTCTGCAGGTGTGAATTCCCTCAGTTCGTGCTCCAAGCAAATTAAAAGCCAGGTAATTGTGCTGTTGTGATACTAAAGCTAACAGTGATGAGCTCTACTCCACAGCAGGCTGTTCTAGCTTGGATTCAGTGCCTTGTCAATGTGGACACATACCAGTGGCAGCAGAGATTACACATATTCATGCTCATCAGAAGTGACTTTCCCAAAAAAGCCTATGATGTTCTACAGTACACAGGAAAAAACACCTTCAAAAGAAACAGTATCACAAATAACCACCTCCCTACTTACTACATACTCCTAAAAAAACACATGGTGGTTGATAAAACATGAAAGAATCCCTTACATAAGTATTACAATTTTAAATAATCCAGTGAGGTTTCAGCCCTATTCATCTTACCTGTGCACTCATTCAAGCAGATCTGCCACTCAGCAACAAATCAGCTGCAGTGATTTTATTGAATTATGTGCCTAGTTTGTTTATCTAGATTGCTGGGGAAGGAGGGTGGGTATGGTAAGGTCATGTTGAAAATACAGGTCCATAAAGCTAGTTAATTTATCTGTGGATTGTCATATGGGCCACTTCCTGCTAAGCAGCTGAACTGCTCATTAAGGATACCAGATTTTGCTCCAGCATCAATTTCAGCTTTCTGAAAGCTTTTAAAGAAAGCTCTTCATTCACTTGCTTTCACACAAGGGATCTTGACTTTGACAACAAAACAGTTCTCAATATAGGCAAGAAAATAATCCAAGTAAGAGCAAAAATTGTTCACACCTCAAGGCTAAGATAACCTTCTTCTGCTGGTCTTTGAGAAGTTCATGAGCACGAGTTACTGTAACAGCAGATCTCTTTGGAGGTACTACAGCCATCCCTGCAACTGCAGAGTAAAACTATACCAATAACCCTGTAGCAACACTATTAAGTTCTATGCTATGATTATTGTTTATGTGACTATAAGTTCTATGCTATGATTATTGTTTATGTGATTATAATTTCTAGACTATGATTATTGTTTATGTGACTATAAATACGATGGAAAAAATTTTAAGTCCAATTTAATTTTTATCTGTATGAAATTCCTAGTTATATCTAGACAAAACCTTCAAGCAGAGAAGACTAAACAGATCTTAAATTACTGATTGTAAGCCACAACCAGGTTAATTCTGTAAACAGCACAAGAGCACTATACTTCACCTCAACCCAGGGCTCAGATTCCTATTACATTTCTCCATTAAACCAAAAGAAGGCAATGGAAGGTGCAGTATAATAAGTAATATAAGTAATAAGTAATATAAGTGAAAGTGAACTTGTCACTGTGGCCAGACCAACCTTCTGCTAATTATATTATCATTTCCTTGGATCAACCACTGTCCTAAGAAAACTTCTTTTAAAAGTATTTCCTCATGCTGTACTTTATGCTTACGTTGCATTGCTTGCTTGAATATCTGACAGATGCTCTCCCTCCTTTCTGGAAAGCTTATCTTATCACAATGACACAAACAATTTGTCATACTTCTAGAGAATTATTAATCAGGCAGCAGTCTCAAATCGCTAAGATTCCCAACTAAATTAAAGCTCTTGATCAACTTTCCCAGAAACTTCACATGGCCATTTTTTGTCATCAGAGCTTCATTCCTTAGCTCCTCAAGGCAGATAAAAGTACTGTCTCATCTGCTACCACTGAACCTCTTGAAGTTGCTTTGCTTCAAGCTAATGAACTCCCCACCATGCTCTGCCAGCTTCTGTGCCTCAGAATGGCATAAAATTGATGCACAGCAAAATGGGGTGATTACCTTTAAATGGGAGACCTTCCTTTCAGTTTATCTATATCCTGTTCATCTGTAGGTACAGTATTTGTATAGTGTCAAACTGAGTATCACAACACTTATTTTGATCCGTAAACCTTCCATTTCCTCACAGTGGCTGGGGACCAAGCCTGAGAACTACAAATTCTCCAAGTGGCTGGGCATTTTAAACCAATGACTACTTGTGATTACACCACTGGGATTCCACTGTTTTTATTTAATCCCAAATATGACATGGTTGGAAAAACTTCAGGCACTAAGAGTGGTAAATCCACTCCTTTTTACGTGACTCAGCTCTGGTATGGGAACCTTCCTCTGGATTCTGTGTTTAAAGGTGTAAATCTACACTGAATCTATTACACAAGTAAATTATTAGTTAGAAAGTGCTTTGATTAATCTGCACAATTCTTCATAAAGTCTTGTCCTGTCTTTTCATTTTATGACTCCTTCCTCTAGCCTACTTTAAGTTTTACTCACTTTCAGCCCGAGTATCTTACAAGAAACCAAACCATCATCCTCTCTGTATACACGTACATGTAATTAATTATTTGTCAGGTTTTCTTCCTTTGTGTCCATGGTTCGTTCTTCCAGCACACCTGCAGACTCTCAAATTTGACCCAGATCTGAAGCATGGAGAGGAATCTCAAGAATACCAAAGCACACTAACACCCCATGACTGGCATTCCCTTGTGAGCAGAGATGTAGGAACAGATATTCATGTAAATAATACAAGGTGGAGCCAAATCAGGATACACTCCTTGCAACAACAGCTTGACCATTTCTGGTTTCCCATTTATGTTTTATCTCTCCAGCTGTCTCTTGATCTTTTTTATTTTCTCACCCTGTAAAACCCATCTCTGCATGGACTTGCAAATACAAATTCTTCTAAAAATCACATATGATATGCTGGAAAAGACAGCAAGTTTCTGATAAATTTCACGAGCAGAGGTAGCAGGCAAACTAAAGAGTGCTTGGGAAAACCAACACTGCTCTCAGTTGAGGCAATTCAGGGTATGGAGCCACCGAAAACCAGCCCCTGTAAAACATGCAAAAATCAGCCCAAATAAGCACCTATTTCAATATGTAGAACTACCGTGTTTTAATACATTATAATCTATGTCATATATACCACACCCTGTAAAATGCCCCACAGCAGAAAAAATTCCAGCTGGAACTTGCAATCAAACTATGAGATGCAAATTTCCAGCAAAACAAGTTTCATTCCTTCCAGCCCTCATTATTCCCCACTGGATTTACAGATGGTGGAAAAGATTGATATTTTGCCTCCTTAATACTCCCTCTATTGTATTCCAATCCTACTTGAATGGTCACACCTAATTCTGGATTATTACTACTTATTCTTTAATCTGTTTCTGTCAGAAAAACCCCTTCTGTACAATTCTGTATATTTTTCAACATAATAAACCATTATGAAATTGACAAAGGACACTAGACTGCATCAAGGATTCTGTAAAATGTTTTGAAGTAAATAAGCATGAAAATGCTCCAGCTACTTGAAATCTAAATCTAAGAAGTTTTAAGCACTTTAATACAACTTAAGGGATTTTTTTTTAAGCTTCACAGAATTTCAAGGCACAGCGATGTCTCTTGCTGAACAGCTTTCAGCTTTTGACCCTTATATTTCCAGTGACTGAATTAGCTAAGCCAATATGTTATTAATGTAATTACTGCATATTCTAAGGAATGATATGTTTTTTATATAAAACCAGACAAAGTACTCCACTTGTCAAGCATTATTTTTTTAAGTGATCAAACCAGAGAAATCCAAAATCTCAGGTTTTATACTCAGCAGTTCTTACAATATAGTCGAGCACCAGTACAAAATGCATATAACCTTTTTGTACAAGGGTCAATTGTATGTTCTTAATTATTCTATCTATATCCTCTGAAAACAGCAGATAGTTTATCTTCTGCAGTATTATTCTCAAAAAAATGGGGACTGCAGTGAACTGCTACAACAAGGACATTTCTAAAAGTATCTTCCAACACACTTAGGACATCAGTCAAAATATTTACATATACTCAAGCACTTTAAAATCTCAAGTTGTATTAACCAGCTGTCATCTTAGTGTCAAACTCCGGTCATTTTAATGTGAAATAAGGGTCAGCACATGATTTCAGCTATTAGCAAAACATTTCTCAGCTACTGAACGACTGTTAAACTATAAATGCCAGATTCCCACACTAAGGCTCTTCTTGAGCTTCTGCTATACTGTATTTCATTCAGAATGAAGTATCTGAATTAAAAAAGACAACATAAAGACATTAATTCAACAGAAA